TTTTTTATATTTAAAATGAGATATTTATCCAATATTTGATTATGTTTATCTGCAGTTAGTTAGACGAATTCAAGTATGGAGCTTTAATAAGTTGTACTTATGCATAATTTACTTGTAATCTTAAATTTTAAGTAATATGCATCAATAAACAATACTTCGTGCATAAAAATATGTTTTTAAGAGTTTTTGTCAAATGTTTTATAATATAATATAGATAGTATAGATTATGTGTTTTTAATAAAAGCAATAATGATTTTATTTTTGAATAAAATATATATTTGAAGATATCATAAAAATTTTAAAAAATATATAATCAATGTTAATGTCAATTCAACTATTTAAAAGTTTTCATTTTTATGTAATTTTTTAAATTTATTTTTTATTATAATTTAATTTGAGTTTAATAATGAAATAATTTATTTTTGGTTTAATAATATAACATTTTATAAAGATAATAATTAGGTATTATGTTAGAACTCAATGATTATCCTAATTATATTTTAGATTTTTTATATTTAAAATGAGATGTTTATCTTATATTTGATTATGTTTATCTGCAGTTAGTTACACAAATTCAAATATGAAGCTTTAATAAGTTGTACTAACGCACAATCTACTTGTAATCTTAGGTAGTAAGTAATATGCATTAATAAACAGTATTTTATGCATTAAAAATGGGTTTTAAGAGTTTTTGTCAAGTGTTTTATAATATAGTATAGATTATGTGTTTTTAATAAAAAATAATGAATTTATTTTTGAATAAAAATATAAATGTGAAGATATCATAAAAATTTGAAAAAAATATATCAATGTTAATATCAAATCAACTATATAAAAGTTCTCATTTTATATGTAATTTCTTTAAAAAAAATTTATTGTAATTTAATTTAAATTTAATAATGAAATAATTTATTTTTGGTTTAATATTATAAATTTTATAAAAATAATAATTAAATATTCTGTTAGTGATGGCTTTAACAGGTTGTACCATTAGCAATATAGGTTGTCTTTAAGAGTTTTTAAGAGTTTTAGCCAAATGCTTTATAATATAGTATATATATATATAGATAATACAACTGATTTTAAGTGGTATACTTATAAAAAGTTATATTTAACTGTCTTCGGAATATAACAATTGGTTTTTAAATAGTATGCTTATAAAAAAGTTATACTTAATCTGATGAATTTCTTACAATTTCTGTGAATTTTTTGGTTATGACATATGATACATGTTTCAGTATTAAAATATACTGTTAATGACTTCTGGTAACAGTTATTTATAATTGTTACACTTGTTTCGTGCATTTAAAATAATTTATTGGATAGTCAATGGTACATGCACTATTCATCAAATCATCAAACATATGATTCGATCAAACACATCGAATCGTACATGAGTTTACGCAATGCACCAATCTTCTTTAAGCGTTGATTTAAGCTCGACCACTTGATTTTCTGGCAACGTTACACTTACCATCTTTCCGTCAGGGCAGTTTTTTGGTGTTGGAAGAACCAAGACGACACCTTCGTCACCGATATTATCAATAGCGTAGTTTACGTACGCGGGCTTCTGTCCTCTCACTTCCATTTCATAAAATGGGACATCACTTAGATCCACAAAAGTCAAATTTGCCCCGTAAATGAGAAAATCAGGAAGCTCGTCGTCTCTCTCTATTGTTTCTTCAATCTTCATTCGTTCGTCCACTGCTTGGTTCATGATCAACAACCCTAGTTCCATCGGGTCAGATTTCGCTACAGATAAGTCTGTTTTGACCAAACTGATGGTTTGACTTTTATTCGTGATGATTCCTTTAGCGCGGTTCCTCATATCACTTCTGCATATCGTCACGGCCTCAGGTCCCAACCCCTGTCTAGCTTTCGCCACACACTGCCAAATCACAACACATATACACTCAAACGGGGAAATTTTCCGTTCACCTTTCTCTCGACATATCTTTGCTTGCAACCGAATCAACTCGGAAGTCGAGATACACAAGGAAAATGTTTCCAATTTGGATGTATTTGAAGTAGACCAAAGGTCCCCAACTGGGTCAACCCGTTTTACGGAAAGTGGATCTGGGCTCGGATTTAGGCTTTGGCAATTGCGAGCATGGACTTGTGGTTGGGCCATGGTGAGTGGTTGGGCCGGGTAATGGCCCACAATGGCTTGAGCCCATAGTTTGATGAAGCCCATCGCCGAAAAAGCATCTCCAAGAACATGGGACCAACTCATGCCGACAGATGTTCCACCACATTTAAACTTGGTCAACTGCACACAAAAAAACATTTTCCAAAAATTAGAAATTTGGAAAAATAGTAATAAATCTAGTCGTTTGAATTAGGGGTGTTAATCAGTTGAAATCTAACGGATTTAGATAGATTCGATCTGATCCAATCATCCAATGAATGTTAGATTTTGTCATCCGATCCAATCCAATCCAATGGATGATTGGATCTGATGTGTTCTATCTATTGGATGCTACTATTGGTTATCTATTGGATTGGATTGAATTGAATCCATCCAATATTTTAATACAATTTTCAACCAATTATTCATATATTTTGAAATTTTGGATCCGATCTTATCCAATTATTCAAGAACCGAATGATCTAATTTGAATGTTGAAATTTTGGATTCGATCTTATTCAATTACAATTGTATTGTCGGTCGGTTTGAATTGGATCGAATAACTTTTTGCACACCTCTAGTTTGAATAATGTCAAATTGATAATTTTTTGTACGGGTCAAAATAAGTCAAATTGATTTGCTAATCTATATTTTTTATTTAATTGTGGGATTTTTTTTATAAATAACTGATTTGGTATATGAGTTGGATTCTGGTGAGAATAACAGTAATGGTGAGAAGGTGAAAACAAAACCTTTATATACCTTCATATACGTTCATTTACATTCAACTACCTTTACTTATCTTTTTTTATCATCATGACAGAAACTTTAACAATTTCATTCATATAAAAGTGATTAAATACACACACACACACACACACACACACATATATATATATATATATATATTATATTTCAAATGCAACCATATCCATTTGTACAACGTAACCCAATTAATTGAGATATTTATGGAAATGATAAGAGTTCATTTATTATGATTTGAATATTTATGGAAGATGATTAAAGTTCATTAATTATGATCAATACTTTATATTAGGAAACAATCAAAACTTTTATAAAATCACATATTCATTAAATTGAATGGACGGTTGAGATTGAGTTGTATTGATTATATAAATATAAAGGGTTGCATAATAACTGATATATATATATATATATATACCAGTTTGTGAAAGGGATTAAAGTGAATACAAATTCGAAGATGAAGGTAGATGAACGTAATTGAAGACAGATGAAATTTGTTGAAGATACTCAAAGTAGTTGAAAAAAGTTAAGTTAGATTGAAAAGCCAACTTCTTCAAAGTTCAAAAGTGTTATCATAATTCTCACCATAACTGTTATTATCACACGGTCTTTCGTCTGCAGGATACATGATTTGAACTACTATATTATTAAAATTACGTATTTTAATATGTTTTGGTTGATTTTTAACTGATTTATTCTAAAATGAATCAGAAGTCTCACCTTTAGTAACTAATTCTGGTAATATTTTCAAAATCTAGTGATACTTAACAGTATTTATATTTTTGTAGGTGAATTATATGGTTAAATTTAATACAGAATGATTAAATTTAATACAGAACATATTTTATAATCACTTGTCCCAGAAAAGTTAGGTATAACTGTTTTAGGCATTTGACTGAAATTCAAATCCATTCATTAGATTACGGTGTCATTATTGTTATTGGTACGACCATCAAATGCAATAGGTACAAGTTTTTAATGCATGATATACAAAAGAAAGCAAAAAACCAAGATTAGCAAGCGAACCTGTATCATAACCAAGGGAGAGAAGGTAAAATCAGGACCAATAACATTGTTGGGGACAAGAAGCGTGTTTCTAGAATCATCTCTCGATTCCAACCATTCGTCGAGACCCAGATGACACTTAGCCTCGATGATTCGCACACCGCTATCATTGCATTTGATGTAGGGCCGACCTGAGTCAGACCTCCTAAACCGACCACATGGGATATATGCATGGCTTAACCAATTGAACATGCTCTCCTTGATGTTCAAGATGGTAAAGCCATCAAAAGCTGGGGATGGGAAGTAGAATACGAACCGAAGGTAGTGAAGCTTCATGGCTAGGTCCATGGTGGATAGCTCCTGAGCTGCATCGTGGCCAGATATAAACCCTGGTGCAACTGTGGAGATTCTGATGTCGTAAACGGGATTTGGTTTATCAGATGAAACCATTTTGCCTTCCAAAAGAGAAATCTGGAGACTTAAATGTCTCATTTGACGGGGGTGTGGAGTGTTTATATAGCATAGATGTGAAAGGACTTCAAACCCAATTCAATCAATTTTATTGATGTGCATCATTTACTCGTATGATATATATATATATATATATATATATATATATATATATATATTTATATTTATGATGGAATCAAAACTCAAAATTCAATAAACCTTAAATCGCAAAAAGCATAACTACGCATTCTTACTATATTATTAGTTCGGCTACTGAGTTTTAGAAACATTGTCGTATTCATCTGATTTAATAAAAAGTTGTTATAAGTCACGCAACCTTTTCAACACGTTACAGTTTTTTGTTTGAAATTAGCCAAAATAATCAGTGTTAAGAAGTACACTGGTTTTTATAATGATTATTCAATAATACAGTAACCAATAATAGAGTGAAAGTACATTAATATTCAAGACACTGATATCACCGACTCTAAAAGGGTTTATGTTAACTGTATTATTTGAATATTTATTTAAAAAAAATAAAGAAATTTGTGATCTTAATAAAAGTGTTTAAACCTTTAGTGTATAAATATATAGAATACATCTCAAATACAAACTATTTAATATTACAAATCATATAAAATTTACATTTCGATCAAGATATTTATGAAAAATAATAAGATTTATTTATCATTAGAAGGGTACTCACACAATACAGTACGATACATCTCGATTTTAGCTTCTTTTTTTTGTCTCAGTCGATGTTACAATACGGTTTTATGTGGTTTTAAGAAAGCGATAATTTTTTTTTGAATAAAATATAAATATGAATATTTCATAAAAAAATAAAAAAAATATTGATATTAGTACCAAACTAACTATTTAAAATTTATCGTTTTTTGTGTATTTTTCTTTAATTCATTTTCTTATTTTTGGTTTAATAATACAGTTTTTTATAAAGTATAACTCAATAATTATCTTAATTGTATTTTAGATTTTTTTATATTTAAAATGAGATGTTTATCATCTATTTGATTATATTTATCTGCAGTTAGTTATACGAATTCAGATATAAATTTTTAATAAGTTGTACTTATACACAATTTACTTGTAATATTAAATTTTAAGTAATATATACATCAATAAACAATATATAATATTTAAAAAATTGTTTTAATATAATATTAAATGATCATTATTTAAAAAAACAAAGAAAATCATATATTTATTCATTAAGTTAGATGAACGGTTAAGATGTATGATTTATAATAATTATAAATTTGTATCTAAAACCGCCTCCAAAAATAATCGTAAATTTAATTTGAAAAATGATAGAATAATTATTTTATTTTAAAAAATTTAAAGATTTGAGAAAATTGATGTTTGATAAGACACAAAGTGAATCATAGACACGTGGCGATCGCATGGAAGAGAGTTTTAGATTGTAGTTGGGAAGATTAAAAGCAGAATTGAAGTTGGTCATGAAAAACAGTTCGTATGGTCCAACCTTATCTTCACCGAATTTATTTTATTGGATTATTTAATATTTTTTAATCTAATTTGATTAAGTTAAACAAATATTTACATGTGAATAATACGAAAATAATTATTTGGATATGAATATATGAAATGGTGTTATAGATTATTCATATGTGAACGTTTGTAATTTATATATGAATTTTTGTGATTCACATGTGAATTAATTAATTGATTCACATTTGAACTCGTATGATTCACATATGAATTAATTAATTGACATATGAATATGTGGATTCATATATAAATCAATTAAATAGTAAACAAGTAAACTGATCAACGGGTTTATATATGAACATATAGTTCATATGTGAATCGCAGGATTCACATGTGAACCTTTTGGCCGTCTATTTGTAAGAGTTAAGAAACTACCACTATCTTTCGCATACTCATGCGATGAATTATCTGGTGTTTCATGGTCAAACTTACAAATGTTTACCAGATTAAGGGTTAGGATCACTTCTTTATTTCTCAAATACTTAACACTTTTCAAATGAACCTTTTCATATATATATATATATATATATATGTATGTGTGTGTGTGTGTGTGCACGTGCGCGCACGAATGATCATGTGAGAATGGAAGTTATGGTAAGAATGTAAGAAGAGATCTGAATCGTAGATCACTTTTAATCCCATGTACACTCATGAACTATGCTTTAGAAAGGAATTGATATGGTGCATCTCGGTGTACCTCATTAGTGTTGACATTCAATCAGGATTGATCCAAGAAAATGCACCCTCAGTAGTGTTGACATCACCGGAACCTAACCCTATGTGTATGTGTGTATCTATACTATCTTATGAAGCATTTGACTAAAACTCTTAAAAACTATTAAACTCGTTCATCCCTAAACGATTTCATCCCTATCCAATTTCATCTCATATCTGAATTCGTGTAACTAATTGCAGATAAACACAATCAAATACAGGATAAACATCTCATTTTAAATATAAAAAATCTAAAATATAATTAGTATAATCATTAAATTCTAACAGAATAGTTAATTATTATCTTTATAAAATTTATAATATTAAACCAAAATAAATTGTTTTATTATTAAACTTAAATTAAATTATATATAAAAAAAATATATTCTATATTATAAATCATTTGACAAAAACTTTTAAAAACCACTTTTTAGGCGTAAAGTACTGTTTATTAATGTATATTACTTAAAACTCAAGATCACAAGTAAATTGTGCGTAGGTACAACTTATTAGAGCTCCATATCTGAATTCGTGTAACTAACTGCAGATAAACACAATCAAATACATGATAAACATTTCATTTTAAATATAAAAAATTTAAAATATAATTAGGATAATCATTAAGTTCTAACAGAATACTTAATTATTTTCTTTATAAAATGTTATATTATTAAACCAAACATAAATTATTTCATCATTAAACTTAAATTAAATTATAAAAAATAATAATCTATAATATATTATAAAGCATTTGGCAGAAACTCTTAAAAACTATTTTTTATGCGTAAAGTACTGTTTATAAATGCATATTACTTAAAACTAAAGATAACAAGTAGATTGTGCGTAAGTACAACTTATTAAAGCTCCATATCTGAATTCGTTTTAACTAATTGCATATAAACATAATCAAATACATGATAAACATCTCATAATGTGTATTTTTCGAAGTGTATGAGATAACATTGCTTTACGAAGTGTATTACAGTATGTAATTTTGTTATTTTCATTGTTTTATGAAGGGTGTCACTGTATACATATTCGCTATTTTTGTTAATATACAAAGAGTATTACAATATGCATCTGTATGTATCTTGGGTATCACACTGAGTATCATTTGTATGTATCTTTTTAGTAGTGTCTATATTTTTTTAGGTATCACATTTGTGTATCTTGTGTTCATAATGCTCGCCAGAATAAGGTTCATTGACCACAGCAGAGAGAAGAGATAAACTTTCTAAAATACCTAAAATGTTGGTTGATTAAAATTTTAAGTCAAAATTATTAATTTCTTTATTTATCTTTTGATTTGTGATTGAGATTGTATCTCACGGTTATCACAAATTACTGAGTTCTCTCTTGAATGTCCCTATATAGATTTAACGATTGTCATTAATTTTTCTTAATTAACAAATATAGATTGAAATGATTTGCATCATTCATCAATAAAATCTACGGTTGAAAGTGGTTTGTATAGCTTGTACAAATGAATAGGTTTGCAAATGATCCCTCCCCTATATGTATGTATATGTGTGTGTGTGTGTGTGTGTCTATAGAGAGAGAGAGAGAGGGGGGTGAGTTATTATGCAACTCTTTATATTTGTACAATCAATACAACTCAATCTCAACCGTCCATTTAATTTGATGAATATGTGATTTTATAAAAGTTTGATTGTTTTATAATATAAAGTATTGATCATAATTAATGAACTTTAGTCATCTTCCATAAATATTTAAATCATAATACATGAACTTTCAACATTTCCATAAAGGGAGAACCGGTTAGTTTGTGGTAACCGTGAGATCCAATGTGAACCACTCGTTTGAGATATTTAAAGATATTTTATAAATAAGTTAAAAGGGTAATATGATAATTTTTATTTATAACAATTAATCAAAATATTTAATTAATTTTTTTAAAAGAAAATATTTAATTAAAATTAGTTACCTACTATATCAATTACCTAATATACGTCGTATTTTAAAAACGTTTGTAAATCAAAGTGTATTGATAACGTTCACAATATTCACGTGTATTACAATGTATTTTCTTTGTTTTATGAAATATATCATACTGTGCATTTTCGTTATTTTCATTGTTTTACAAAATGTATCACATTGTTTATCTTGTATGTATATCTGGGTATCATAGTGAATATAGTTTGTAGGTATCACAATGTGTATCTTGTGTTCACATCAGGTTCATCGAAATAAGGCTCGCCGAATAAGATTCGTCGAAAAGTACAAAAAAATCGCCGGAGAGAGGAAAGAGGAGAGATGAGAGAGGATATTTCCCTAAAATGCCCTTAATTAGTATTTTAAGTTAAAATTACCAAAATTGTTAATTTGCTAATTTAATCTTTGATTTGTGGTTGAGATTGGATCTCAGTTATCACAAACAAAACAATTCTCATTTGATTAGACTCTTGTATATATATATATATATATATATATATATGTGTGTGTGTGTGTGTGTGTTTGTGTGTACGCGCGCATGTATATGTGTGTATACCTGAAACTCTTCATGCAACATGGTGGCCTTTCTTTACATCTACCTCATATCCTACTCGATGTTGAAGCTACTCGGCCTTTCGGTTGGCCCACCTACGATATTAAAAAATTCTCGATCGATTTGATCAAATGTATGTATAACCGCGGGGGGGGGGGGGGGGGGGGGGGGGGTTCTTTTAAGAACCATACAATTTATGAGATCTGTAACATCCAATATTAATGTGTTATGCTACACATCACATTATGTTTCCATTATTTTTCATTGTTTAAAATTTTCACGTCTTAAATCACATG